TGCTAATTAGGGCCTCTAATTAAAAATTAGGTACTCCTCTGATTTTTGAGAAAATAAAAAAAAACTAAGGGATTGCTAGGTTTATGAAAGCTAGTAGTCCCCTATAGTAAAAAATATTTTTCCATGATTTCCTTTTGTATCAGAATTAGGTGCTTTTTAGGTGCTCCTAAATAGTCGAAGAGAAAATAGGATTGATTAATTATTAACTGAGTTACAGATTTTTTTTTTAATTATAAGCGGACTGCTGACTTTACGTTTACTTGTTCGGAATCTATACAATAATTAGGTGCTTTTTAGGTGCTAATTAGGGCCTCTAATTAAAAATTAGGTACTCCTCTGATTTTTGAGAAAATCACAAAAAACTAAGGGAGTGCTAGGTTTGACTGCAACCATTCTAAGTGCACCTAATATGATTATCAGACATGCACCAACTTTTGGCCTTGTTTATATTTTGATTGTGCTATTACTAAAAAAAAATCCCATATGTTGCACACTTAAGTAATGACACTGTAGATCCCGAAGTTTTTTTCCATTCTGACACACCAACATGTAAACGTAAAGCCAGCAGTCTCCTAGTAATTAAAAAAAAAACTGTAACTCAGTTAATAATTAATCAATTCTATTTTTTCTTCGACTATTTAGGAGCACCTAAAAAGCACCTAATTCTGATACAAAAGAAAATTTTGGAAAAATATTTTTCACTATAAGGGACTACTAGCTTTCATAAACCTAGCAATCCCTTAGTTTTTTTTTTTGATTTTCTTAAAAACTAGAGGAGCATCTAATTTTTGATTAGAGGCCCTAATTAGCACCTAAAAAGCACCTAATTATTATATAGATCTCGAAGTTTTTTTGCCATTCTGACACACCAACAAGTAAACGTAAAGCTAGCTGTCCCCTTATAATTAAAAAAAATCTGTAACAGTTGATAATAAATCAATTCTATTTTTTCTTTGACTATTCAAGAGCACCTAAAAAGCACCTAATTCTGATACAAAAGAAAATTTTGGAAAAATATTTTTTACTATAGGGGACTACTAGCTTTCATAAACCTAGCAATCCCTTAGTTTTTTTTTGATTTTCTCAAAAATCAGAGGAGCACCTAATTTTTAATTAAAGGCCCTTATTAGCACGTAAAAAGCACCTGATTATTATATAGATCCCGAAGTTTTTTTCCACCTTGGAACTGCTAGGTTTATAGACCTCTTTCGAGTCAGTTTTATCTGGGCCCATAACCTTTTGACTATCTACCTTCTTCCACACAGATCAACAACCAAGAATGAACTATGGATTAACCAGTTTGGTGTCCTCTAGCTTCCAGCATTCAAAATAAACGAGCAAATTTTCAAGAACAGTAGAAGCGTTTCTATTATAAACAATAATTATTTAGTAGCGATTACTACGATTAGGTACTAGTTCTTTTTCCAAAAACAAAAACTGCATCACAATATATCAATTTAAACCGGCTTTAGAGCAGGGAGATCCACAGTAGACCATCTATTCTGTATTACGCAACCTAGCGACAAAATGATGGAAGTAGATGAGGAATTTCATTCCTGTACATAGACCTGAAAAAAGCCTATGACAGAAACTATGAGAATGCAAAGGGATGCCCTGAATGAAAATATTCTATACACATTGAATTTTACAGACGACCAAATAGTACTGGCACAGGATATGGAAGATCTACATAGAATATAATATGACAAGAAAACTTGTTGATGCGTATGAAAGGTGGGGGTTGGAAGTCAACATAACAATAACTGAATACATGTGCATAGCAGGAACACAACAGGATATGACGCTGAAAGATGGACGCAAACTAAAATCGTGCAATAAATACAAATACTTCGGTCTATAGGTATAACAAACGACAGGACTTTAAATGAAGCAATCAAAGAGAAAAATGTACATGACAGGAAAGCTATTAGAATGCTCAACACTATTTTGTGGGATCAAAACAAACATAGCATAATATACACCACAATCGTCAAAAGCATCGTGACATATGGTAGCGAAGTGTGGCAACTGAAAAAGAAATCTATCAAAACATTGAAGAGGAACGTCCGGCAATTCCAGGTATTATAAGAGGAAGTGAGAAACAAGAGGATACAAGAAGTGATGAGAATCAGACATACAATGGTCGTAGAGACAAAAATAGAACAACTAAAATGGTATGGACAGTGGCACGTCCAAAGAATGACTCAAGAAAGGCTTTCTGAACAAATCCTAGAATGGACGCCAATGGGCAGAAATAGAAGAGGAAGATCCAGAAAGAGTTCGAAAGAAGGAAATAGGAAATGCAAGAGAGAGGGTTAGAAGAAGGCCAGTGGAACGTGGAACAACCAATTCGAATGGCAATTGGATATATGGGAAGGCGTCGTAATATACAGAGTGTCCACTTAGTGCGATATCGGACGATATATCCTTACAGGGTGATGCAAGAAAAAAAAATTAAATTACAAAGTTGTTTGGGAGATTAAATTTAACACGTTAACCGCCATATGCATTAAATATGATTCACACGGCGTTGAGCTCAGGGGGCCGTGTGATACATATATGATTCCAAAGCGTTTTTGTTTCTGAGGCCGGGTGTATAGCAGGTAATGCACGCGACCGTGGCCAGTATATGGGATCTTAAAAAGTGAGGCCTGGTGGCCGATCCTCGGGCCAGGGAGTAGAGCTCCCCGATAGAACGAATGTTTTGTCCTTGTCAACGTAATCGAAAAGTAAACGAGAATGATAAGGACGAAAATTTTGTTCTCTCGGGGAGCTCCACTCCCTGGCTCGAGGATCGGCCCACTGGGGAGCAAATATCTGTGAATGGCCTACAATTTTTTTGCGGTTTAGAGATACGGCCATATGCGTTTTAAGTTCAAGTGAAAATAATTTTAAAAAAACAATTAATGGAACAAATATTTATTATTTGATTCATTTTTTGTTAGTTCCTGTGCTTAAAATAAATAATTATTTATAATATAAAAATAAATAAAATATGTATGTAGGTACTTTGTACTATAATTCACGTGGCCTAGGAGTTATCATTTTGCTTCTGAGGCTGTGTGAATTATATATGATTCACGGGGGTAACTTCAACCCTTTACACTATTTTGGGTTTTTTTAGTCATAGAATGTGTTCTCGCACTTAACATAATCTGAAAATAAAGAAATATATTGATGGCCCCCTCGAAACGTTTTTTTTTCTCTCTAGTGCGGCAGTTAACGTGCTGGAATTTGTAATCATGGATTAAATTCAAAGTTGGTGTCAAATGATTGTTTATAAAAATCTAAGATAGGAATGTAAAATCGGTTTTCGCCTAAAATTAACCGTTTAGGTTTTACAGCCTGTCGAAGTTGCAAAAAGTCAATTTCCAACTGTCAACATTTCGAAAACAGTTAAAACGAAGAATCCAAATATACAATCACATACAGGGTGTTTCATTTAAAATAACAAAATTCTGTCGCATACTCCATAAACGGAGCACCCTGTATAATCAAAAATATTTTCAACTAATGCATATTAGAGTCTCAAACAACTTTGTAATTTAATTTTTTTTTTCTTGCACCATCCTGTAAAGAGATATCGTTCGATATCGCACTAAGTGGACACCCTGTATATTTTATATGTTCCGATATCAACTGTCAGTACCTACTGAATTTACTGAACGCCGTTCCGATAATATTTTCAATACACTGATTCAGTACTGAATAACCCCCAGATAACGCTGTCAAAATTAGAACGGCAAATGACAGTAGAATCAGCACAGTAAATCCAGTACTGGCAGTTAATGTCGGAACAGTCTATATAAAAATAACAGGTCTGAAACAATAATTCAATGTATACATAGATGTTCAATTTCACCATCCCTCATTGATGTAGACCCATAAAACTTCTCTAATCTTGATTTGAACAAGTATTTCGTCAAGTCGGCAATCTGCTTAGTACCGCCTACTGAATAACTATTTCGCCTTCCACGACCAATTCTCGAACTAAGAAATGTATTATGTGTTTGATGACTTTATTCGAGATTTTGTGCTATTTAATAACAACTTCATAGGGTCTGTTGTCACAAGAGTCTCTAGCTAACAGTTTGCAAACCGTCACTTCCTAACAGTTTGCAAACTGTCAGAGACTCTTGTAAGAACAGACCTATTGTCAACCATAAGTAAAGGTAAATCTTTTGATTGTAAAATTCCTTAATAAAGAGTTTTTAACCAAACTAATAATTCTTTCGCGCATTCACTTGCTGCTTCAATTGCAACTGATCTTTGCTTTGTCTGCGACTTCTTTATCACACATGCGAAGGACTCTATGTAGACGTTGATCTACGTGTGCTCATGTCACCTCTATTATGTGAATCACTATAAGCCCTTTTAAGTATCCAACTTGGTATAGTTGTACTGGTAGATAAGGTTCCATAGAGATATAATCTGAAAATCCTTTCTACTCGCTTGTAATCTTCTGTGCTTGGATTGTCAAAACTTCTTGAACTTACACCAACTGCATATGCTAAATCTCGACGCCTATCTGTCATGAGATACATCAATGTTCCTAGTGCTTCTCTATAAAGAAACTCTGATTCACCTTTTTCCTCATCGTTCGCTGACTCAATATAGCTTCTTTAGTTCTTTAACTATTTTTTTTGCATCTTAAATCTCTCCAGTAACTTCTTAGCGTATGATTTCTGACTTATTTTGATAGAACACACAACATCTCTCTCAATTTCAAGTCACAAGAAATATGATGCAGTTGTAGATTTCCTATCTTAATTTCTTCTAGGAACTGATTTTCCATGTTTTCAATATTTGATATATAAAGACAAAATAAGCATTCCATTTACTTGTTTCTTAAAAAATAAACAAGGGTCTGCATCAGTTTTTTTTAAAATTAGGCCTGTAATTACATTTGTAATGGGTTTATTTCAACAGCGTGGTGCGAACCATATAAAAAGCCTGTACTGACATCAAACTGTGTACCTACATGTCATAATTGTCATTTCTTCACATGCAGCAATGCTAACTGAAGACAAATTTGTAATCAAACTACGAGTTTGGTCAAAATCGCTTCCTGGTTTATGTAAAAAAACTTCCACAACCAATCTTGTATATCTTATAAATCCATTTAGAAGATATAACTTTTCTTCCTGCAGGTAAGTTATCTAAGACTTAGGTAGCTTTTGATCTATATCGCAATTTCTTCATCCATGGCAATTTTCCATTGGTATTTTTTACCGATTTGGATATCATCTTTATAACTATTTGACTCTTTGATTCTAAGTTTAATTGCTGCGACTGTGACTGTCATTGTGTAATCTTCAAATTTGGATGGTTTTCTTAAACTTGTTTTTAAAAACATAAGACTCTGAAGTTAAACTTCTAATATATAATATAGTCTCCTCATCATCTTCTATAGTCTTTCATCTTCTGAGTCTGAACATTCTTGTCTCGAACTACTTTCTCCATCTTGTTCTTCTAAAAACGTCTTTATTTGATTTCTTTACAACTTTTATCTTCATTGACTTCTTCACAACTTTCTTTTTTAAGATTAGGAAATGATATGAACTCAGGACTTGGAAAAGGATTTTCGGGGATAATACCACGAGAGCTTCAAAATTACCGATAATTTTTCACGATTGCGTGTTTTCTATAATTTCACGAGTCCGTAGGACGAGTGAAATTTGCAGAGAAAACACGCATAAGTGAAAAATTATCTGGTTCATTTTAAAGCTCAAGTGGTATTTACAGGATTATTTCACGTATGAGAATGCAAAAAATATGGCAATAAATATGTATTAAACGATTTGAACATCTTAGCAATCAATACAAATAAATGGTTGCTATCAGGAACCGTTTGTTTGTATCAAAAATTAGCATCACAACCATGTATACAATAACATGGGAGAATTTTCGCTGTAATTCTCTCTAGTTAAACAAATGGAAAAGAGAATTTTCGCCGTAATTCTTAAAATCGTCACTTATCTTATGGGATTTCTAACACATGAGTGAAATAATCGTCGAAAATAATTGTGAATTTTAAATTTTGTATAAACCACTGTCCATCCACCAATTGTTGGAATTACCATTGGCATAGGGTAAAAAATCCATGGTCATAACATCATAGCAATTCAAAATTACACCTGATACACCAATTAATGCCATGTCTTCTCTTTCGTCATTTTTCTTTTCGAATGTAATACCACAAGAGGTTTCAGGATTACCGGATAATACTTTTACTGTCACGAAACGCATTACGCAGCAACACCACGACTCCGAAGGAGGAGTGGTGTTGCTGGTAACGCGTTGAGTGTCGGGTGAAAGTATTAGGTAATCCTGAAACATCGAGTGGTATTCAAAAGGTTATACAACGAACTAAACTTTAACACTTTAAAATTAAAAAAAAACTCTATAATAGAATTTGCCATAAATGCCACCAAGCGCAATAATCCCAAGAGACTTGTCACTTACTAAGCCTCTCGTGTCATATGGGAATAATGTACAGTGAGTTGTATAATCGAATGTAATACCACAAGAGGTTTCAGGATTACCGGATAATACTTTTACTGTCACGAAACGCGTTACGCAGCAACACCACGACTCCGAAGGAGGAGTGGTGTTGCTGGTAACGCGTTGAGTATCAGGTAAAAGTATTAGGTAATCCTGAAACATCGAGTGGTATTCAAAAGGTTATATAACGAACTAAACTTTAATACTTTAAAATTTTAAAAAAAAATCTATAATAGAATTTGCCATAAATGCCACCAAGCGCGATAATCCTAAAAGGCTTATCACTTATTAAGCCTCTCGTGTCATATGGGAATAATGTACAGTGAGTTGTATAACCGTTTAAATTTCATGTAGATATACTTTAATTGTCAAGGAATTCAAGGATCATATACCTAAGTGGATAGACATACCTACTACCCAGAATTAGTTAAATTGTATAACAATAAAATATACAGGACATTCGGTATAAAACTTGTCGAGTCGAGGTTAAAAAAGGGCACGAGAAACTTCCTCTAAATACCTACAATCCAAATAAAATTAGGTACTTTACTTCTTTACCGTAATTTCATGTTGATTATTATGTTAGGCTGTACCTAGGATATAGAATAGAGACCTCTTCCAAAAATGTTTTCAGGTGTCTCGCAACTTCGAATTTTTCTTTCATAAAAAACACTCTACGACGGTACTTACTGTAGTCATCTTTAAATAGACAAAAATGCCTTTTAATCGTCTCCCTGAAGGTTCAAACGTCCACATACATCTAAGTCTCTTTTGGTTTTGTAGCTCTTTCTAACTAGATTATAGAACATGGGCTTTGCCAAATAAACAGCCTCTACACAACTTCCTATCAAGAGGTACGTTCATTCTAAAATTTCTTCAGAATTTGTTTAATATTTTAATGACAGTCTCTTCTTATATAATGATATAACTGTAGTATGTTAACATTTTGGACTGCATTAATCTGTGAAGCATGAGGCTAGGGCTAATTTGTAAAGACCTCCATGTTTACTTCTACTTCCAACTAGTGATTCCCACGAGACGAGACATTCATAAAGTCTTGTCTCGTCTCGCCGATAAATAAAAAGTCTTGTCTCGAGTCTCGTCTCGCAGCCTTAAGTCTCGCCTCGTCTCGCGTCTCTTACGAGAGTCTCGCAAATGTCTCGGAGTCTCGTCATGCTTGTTCTAGGTTAGAGTCTATAGTTGAACCAAATCCAAGCGGCAGTAATGGCATAACTGGTCATTTTCATTACAATAACCTATCAAATATTCTCCGTGCATGCGCACTGGTCCAGGTAGGGCGTCTCAACCAATAGAAAGTCTGGATTACCAACACAATTTAGGTTATTTAATGAGAAAGTTGCATTAAATTTTATTTTAATGGAAAATGTATTTAAAGTGGAGCAAATTACTCAAGAAGTATATTTCTATATTTAAATCCTCTTTAAACTGAACCCCTAATAACTAATTGATTATTCAAGTATTCAATAACAATGGGCGCGAAAATGCTATAAAATTGGTTATGACGTCATCGAACGATAAACAAACAAAAGTGTGGTTATGATAACGTGAAACGTAAGCCGTCAGACGCTTGTGTTTACATCGAATTCTACCGATGGATCCACCATTGTATGTCGGTCATTATCATTTTCCATTCACTAAACAAAGATAGCTAACTCATTGGTGAAGCCACCGATTAAAATAAAAACGAGGGGAAACTTGACAACAAAATAAACCACACATGTAAATCGCACGGATAAGACAGGGAGGGAGTACACAGACTCGTTTTGACGCTTGGAAGGATATCGTCTTGTGACGTCATTGATTTACGACTGCGTTTTGGCGCGAAGAGAATTATTTTGAATTTCTAAATTTTTTTACAGAAAAACTATTAGTTGAAAATCTAAAATTTATGTGGCAAGTGACTTTTTATAATGTGAAGAATTTAATAAGAGAATAAGAAAAAAATTTGCAAATTCCTCATTGTCATTACTGCCCCTTGGATTTGGTTCAACCATAGTACAGGATACTTACCTATTTGCTATAATTTTAAATTAGAAAAAGAAACTCACAACTGTTGAAAAATAAGATCATGTATTTAAAATTCGTCACTGAAACGCGACTCTGCCCTGTATTCCTTTCACCCGTTGAGTTACTCGGAGCGGCTCAATGTAAAAAGATTGAACGTTTCTTTTAAAAGTGCGTTAAGCACTCGACTCGCTCATAGTGCATCCCCCTTTTCCCTGATTCATCAAATTTGGAGATACTCCGGGGAGCTCTAGAGCGACAGGATCGGTGTAACTCAATGTATAAAAGGAATACAGTATAAGATGTATCCTCTCCTGTTATTTTTAGTTGTGTTATAGTCTATACTGTCTCTATTTTTACGTGTAGAATAAGTGACAGATAACTTAACGTTGCTGTTAAAATAACAGAAAATTATAAATCATAGGCCTGGGGGGCTTTATTTGAAATTGATGCAACTTTGCGTACACGCAAATGACGTCATTCGTGATTGAAAATTGGTGCACGGCTTATTTAACATGCAGTTTTTCATTCGCATCTGACGTCATTTGCGTCATTTTTGCGTGTGCGCCAAGTTGCATCAATTTCAAATAAACCCCCCCAGGATGGCGGTAATTTTAACGCACCTTATTATAAAATATTGCGTTATGTGAAAACATAAAATAAAAAATATTTTGTAAAAATATAAAATATTCGCCCACCGTTATATACGCCACTGCCAACAGAGTTCTGATGGGAGGGGTAGGCAATGAACTGGGGTAGGCGGTTTCGCGAAAGTCCGGCTACTGCATATATTTACATTATATGTGTTCTTTGTCTGCACGCAGAAATATTCACCTGCGAGACTTTTGCACGAGACACGAGACTCTCGCACGAGACTCGAGACGAGACCAATAAAAGTCTCGTCTCGTCTTGTCCGAGACAGTCCGAGTTTCGTCTCGAAAACGAGACGAGACCATGCGAGACTCGAAAACGAGACTCTTGTGGGAATCACTACTTCCAACTGAAATTGTCTTTTCTCCAAGTTTAAATAATAAATAATATGACAATAGTTTTTGAAGTTTTTCAGTTGGAAATTTGTATCAGTTTCGACGAATTTCTTCAAAAGTTACTCATGGTGTTACCTGATTTCAAAGAACAATGGATAGATTGTTACGAAAATGCATCGACAACTCGACCAGGATTCTAAGAAATTCGTTGCTTACATTTGGGAGTATGTTTTTTCTGGGAATTCTATAATATTCAATAAAAATGTTTTTCTAGATTGATCCGGAGTAGGATTTCAACTATAAATAGCGCGTAGTAAGGACTGGGTCAGTTTTTATAAGAAAATTTTATGTAAAGTCAATTTTGCGTCATAAAAGTTGTTACTATTTGTGAAGTAAGTTTCAGTGAACCCGAATTCCTTGACAGAATTAATAATCCTGAATAGTTGATAGGCGTATAGGTATAGGTACCTATGCATATATCTGGATGATTATGCTATTACTATTTGCAAAATAAATCAAGCTCAACATGATGGCAACCTTAGCAAGTTGTAAAGAAATACAATTTTACAATTAATTAAGGGAAAAGTTCATATTCATGAAAATCTATCAAAGACTTCTTGGATATTTAATCGAAAATCAAACTTTAAAAAGCAGATCTTGAAAAACTCGAATTTTTAATAAAATTGCCATGCTAAAAAGAGAAAATATCTACCTTTTGTATAATACATTTTCACCTTTTATTAACGTTGGAAAGTCTCTAGCATTTCTATCAAATATCAGCTATTGAGTGTTTGTTGTCAATTTTCTAGTTTATTTTGAATAATAATTGGATCCAAAATTACATTCCTATACTGAAGACCAAAGATTTTAACTTCTTTAAATATAGTATAGCGGTTTATTGAAATTTTCTTCAAAAATGTTTGATCAAGTTTACATTTTACCTTATAACTTAAACTTAAGTTCTTGTACTTGGATAACTTCTTACTCACCATGAAGAAAGTTTCACTATTTTACATTCATTTATGAACTTAATTTTAATTTAATTTCTACTTCGTTACATATTGCTATAATAAATAAATATAAATGTAACTTTAAAATTGAAGCTCAACTTGTCTTTGGTAGATAATTAAATAAATTCACAATCCTTGATGCCTTGCAGTTTTTGGGAATTACCTCTTACGTCAAGTGAATTATTTTTTAGTGCAAAATTAACAAAAATACTTGGTCGTTTAGCTATTATAACAAATAACCTAATCAGTCACGAAATTTCGCTAATAAAAATTTAACAAACAATTATTTTCTCTTAAAATAACACCAATAACCATAACATTTGGTATATTTCATGCCTGGTAATAAAATATGTTTATAGAAAATTATATGTAGGAGAGATTTTTTTCAAATATTTTTAACATTATCGGCAACAATGCTTAGAATAATGAATGAAATAACAGCAAGTTTATTTTGTTAGCCGCGAAAACTGATAGAGGCATAATTTATCAATAATTATTGCTATAATTAAACAATATTTCACTGCTCCTACTTAAGGTAACATGCTTTTAATAGTCTTATAATTTATTGATAATATTATCGAATTTGTATCATAAATGACCATTGATTTATTAATTTTTACTTAATATTTATGATGATATAATTCAAATATGGTAATAAAACCTTAACAGACTTTTATTAAAGACCGCATTTTTGAATTTGATCTGACTGAGGTATACAATTTCCAGAAATATTGAATAATTTG